ACCTAAATTAACTGAAAATAACCCTAGAACCTAGAGTAAACAATCCCTTTAAGTATAAATATAATTGCACGTTTGTGATTAGCCCTCGGTCTGTGACGTGCAAAATAAATTGGCAAATGTGCAACTTTTTCAGGGTGGCAGCATGATCGCGGGTCAGCGCCCAAAAATGAAAATTTCGAAATTCAATTTTGTTTTATGAAAAATGTGAATGCGTAATTATAGACATTTGTAGATATGTGCTATTATTTATGAATCTACTGTATGTGTGTATATGCTCTCAAATTCTAGAGTAGAGTACCATCTCTTTAACTCTGGTTAAGGTGACTCCGTGTAGATGAGGCTATATTATTACATGATCAGTGGTGAATAGCTTAAAACACAAACCTCATGGCTTTACCCTCCCAGACACGAGTTGGTTACAACCTAGCGTGCATGAGTGTGTGCGTGTTTGCCTGTGAATATGTAGTGTAAAATTCCAGCTAAGTTTTTACTCGAACCCTGCTGATAGTCAGATTCTGGGCTAACAAGACCCTTGTACATTATTCACAGAATCTTATGTGCTGTGAAGATTGTGGAAAGCATTGCCCACCTGCATGAGATAGTAACAATGTTCTGAGATATCTTAAATTATTGTCCATTTATTCAGGAGCTGCGTATTGAAAACGCATCAGTTGCCCATTGAAGCATTTGTTGTTGCATTGCGGTGGATGGGATTGGAAGACGTCGACAGTGATGAAGCACAGTGCCTCATTGCCAACCTGATATATGAGGCAGGTGTCTTTTCTCTTTATTGGCATTTGGTAGTCAATGCGAAATGCTGGCCAAGTGTGACTGAGCCTATGTTCAGTTATTGTCATGACAATTGTTTATCAGAGTATGATTGGCATTTTATTGTTATGTACTAATTGATTTATGTTTTGCTGATAATTTCAGGGAAAGATCAAGGGCTATATTTCACATCAGCACCAGAAATTAGTTGTGAGCAAACAAAATGCTTTTCCTCCGCTGACTGCAATAAATTAGCAGCTACTGTACTTGTATTGAAGCACCATGGAGTCCATTGCATGTGTACTATCATGGTATGTAATATATAAGTACCAATTTTCTTGTACGTGTGATGCACCATATCTACAGGACCAATAAATAATTGATTAGATTATTTGCTCTTGTTAAAGTTTTGCTGTGTGAAAATAACTGAAAATGAACCGAGTCATATCCAAGCACCTTCAGCTATATTTAAAGGGATTCATGTCCCTAGGTTCCTTGTATATTTTCAGTTAAAATAGGTTGAAAAAACGCTATATAAAAAATTCAATTGTTCAATACTCATTAGAAATGTTTTTTTAATCTTGTAAAACTAACGACTGGATCGTTGCTTACAGCGACGGTGGCGCCACTACTAGCCCATCTGCTTTCAAAGTTGTGAGTTGCAACTTTTCGGCTGCAGGCTGCAGACCGAGGGTGTTTCTTATTTATTAATTCAAGAGGATTGCAATATCTTATAAACAACTTTTAGGTTCACTCTAAAATAAAAATCAGTCAGTTAAATAACAGTTAGATATAAATATAATTGCACTTTCTAGGGTGTAGTATCCCTTTAAGATAGTCACAGGAAGAAAAGCCATTGTTGGCCATAATTTGTTATTGTTATCAAACAAGCTAAATACCTATAATATTCATATTTGGTATCCCCACTTCATATATATGAGGGGCTTGAATCAAGGTCAGAGGCAGTCATGATTTTTATTTATTTTTATTTATACTACATAAACCAGAGTCCTACTAAAAACTCCAGACCCAGACTTGAGGGGGCTGCTATTTCCAAACTGATCAGATATCGTAGCCCATATTTGTTTGTTTTGATTTTTCCAATGAACTTTAAGGGGATGATTTAAGTTTTCCTGATTTTACTGGAGGGCGTATGAAATCTCCTACCTAACAATATTCTGAGAATAGCTGGCCAGTGACCATCAGAGTATCAAAATAACTTCTAGACACTTGAAAAACATATTTAGGGCAAGTGTGGTTTGTAATAGACATCCTTTTTAAACAAAAGCACTCACGAATAGGAGCTATAGCAAAACGGCAGGAATTATTAATTGGGTAAAAGTTCAAGCTTTGCAACTTTTGTGGACGTAATGTTTCACGTAAGTCATCAGAAGCAGGCAATAGATAGATCATTTAAATGATCCTTATTAATGAGATTGAATCTTATTCTGCTGCACTTAATTTTGGTATAGTATCAAAATTTCAGAATTTTAACATTTAAAGGGATAGTAGACTAGGATTTTACTGCATACAACTGTACTTACTATATAACAAATCGTCTATACCCACACGTATTTGTTACCAGATACCTAATTTTTAATTACACAACAACGCTACGAAATTTGAACGGCGCCATGACACCCGCGACCGTGCTGCCAACCCGAAAAAGTTGTGTATTTGACAATTTATTTTGCACGTTACAGACGGAGGGCTATTCACAAAAGTACAATTATATTTATACCTAAATGATATTTAACTGAACGATATTCATTTTAGGGCAAATTTATCCATATTATAACTGAAACTATATGTTGTTTATAAGATATTACAATCCTTTTGCTTTTAAATTAATAAATAAGAAACACCCTCAGTCTGTAGCCCTTGGCTTAAGTGGTTTTGCGCAACTTATCAGATCGTGCGCTTTGAGTGGCGCCGTTGTTGTAATCAAACTGTAGTCGTTAGTTTTAAAACATTTTTTAATAATATTTCTAATGGTGATTGAACCATGAAACTTTTTATGTAGCGTAATTTTAACCTAAATTAACTGAAAATAACCCTAGAACCTAGAGTAAACGATCCCTTTAATATATTAGGACACCAATATTGTTTGAAGAAAAGAAAACACGTGGTAGTTTCAAGTAGATTACAACCAATTAGGCATACATCTAAAGGAATATCAAATGTGTGAATAAATATATGATCGAAATAGATAGCATTAACTGCAGGAACCTTGGATATAAACAATTGAATTATTTTATGTGCACACAGTCATTACACTTAAAGGGTTATGCACAATATCCAACAGTTTACTAGCATAACAATTGGTTATATATGAGATACATACAGTAATATCTATTATATAAACCTAAATCACAAGTGTTAAACAATATAGATCACTAAAATGTACAAGTAACATATTTATTAGAGACCGATGTCATTTTAATTAAATAATTGCTTTAACATTGAAGTTATTAAATCATCTACAATATAATTATTAATGTTAATATAAATATTAATTACTGTCACAAAATTACAAATAATTTAAAGGTAATATACAAGAGTTAATTTTTTTGGTGTGGAAAAAGAATATTCAGAGAACTGGTTTTACTTACTATGAACATATCTATAAATATGATAGTGTGTGTGTTTTTGACTCACTAGGTTTCAATTACCAGAGGCCTGCCGTAAAGAAACAATTATTTAAAATATGGGCAACCTTAAGTGTAGAAGCTAATTGTTACTTCACAATGCTCACTCTCCGAGTGACAGTAACAGTAATTTAGGGAAACTTAAAAACTGGAATTGATAGATGTCTTTCACTCATCATCATTACTGAGACACGACTGTCTGCTGTCACCTTTAATTATTTATGGGAATCATGCATGTTCAGTCTTCAGCCTCAAATCCAAACATGTCCTGCGTTTCAAACCAGGCCAGATCTGCCTTTTTAATTTCCCCCTTCTTCTCAAAGTCTCTGCGTCTGTCTTTGCACGAATTCTTGACGAACTTGTTGTTTGTTTTCTGTTGGTTTACAGCAATTTGTTCCTGTAATTTTTAGCAAATTAGAGATGTGCAAACCGATTACGTTTCCCTTAAGTAATAAGGTATAGAACTGGTGCCACCATAATATTATGATAGGTCTGTGATTAGCAGCCAAGACCTCAATGGTCATTTTCCATGGTCATCGACCAAACTATGGATATCTCTTGCAGATTATTAGTCATTACCTGCTGCTTTATGTTAATATTTGCACCGTTGTTCTCTTTGGGGAAGAAGATGGTATCAAATTGCTTCGACTCCTCTTCTGATACCTTCATCTGCAATTATAGCCATTGTATCGCATACATATATAAATACATGCATCTTTCTCTAGCCTTGTGTAGATTCTTAGTGCAACTAAAATTTACTTAAGATATTCATATTTAATTTGTAACAGTCACTCTAAAGAACAAAATCTATAAATATATGTAACCTTTTTCTGCTGCTGCTGCTGCTTTGCAGTAGATTCTCTTGCCATAGCCTGGGGTGTGGATGGGACCCTTGTATAGGCGAAGCCAGTCTTCCTGACTGATCCACTTGCAGACCCTTTCTGCATGACCTGGAAGCGTGCTTGTATTTCCTTGTAGTCAACCTTATATCCAGTCACCAATATGGATTTAGTCATGTATGGAGTTTATTGGTCAATAGGAAGTTATATATGAAATCAGGTGAGTAATAGTAGACTTAAGAGTCATTACTGTACCTGTGTTCATTAACCCAGGCAGATTTCTAGTCTCACACAGGCACAGGTCAGCATTCACAGTCAGAAATCATGAAAACTTTGCAGTATATACTATTACCGTTCCATTTGCCTTTTATGTATCGTGAGTAATAATCGCCTGTTATGTTTAAATTATTGCTCACTACAAAATACAGTGGAAAAACGTCTTTATTTTAGACGCACGCATCATGCACTAAGACAATGCCAACTTTATCTGAAGAGGAGTCGGCAAATCTCCTTTTCCCAATGAGCATGGTTAAAGGCATAAGACGACCATTGATTATGCAATTTTAACGAATGCTACAGTAACTGGCACCTTGTGTAGTTAATAAGTACATTACCTTATAGCCAAACGCGTATTAGTTTGTCCAATATCACTGCTGGTTACTAAGAAATGTTCCAAATTGAAATCCCGCGGTCAATATAAATCCCGTTGTTGACAAGTTACAACGCCGCACATGACCGGCGTAACCGGCCGAGCGGTGTCCCCAATACGGATTATTACGTGCACCGGAACATTTTCCGCGACGTACTGCTCCGGCCGTAGACAGTGACTTTCGAATGCCTTGTGGTCTGAGTGCGGCATTCCGTACGTTATGCTGTTTTACTCTTGGGATTCGGGAATACAAGGAACTATACGAAGAATCTTGAGATTACAAGCAACATGATATATAATGTTGAAAAGGATACTGCCGTCATTAAGGCAAACAACTTTACCCGGGAACAAACAATTCCCGATGCTCAACATCTGTAGCAACAGTGTGAGGGTCCACCGAACCGGAATTTGATCGCCCTTATTTTGTTGCGCAATAAATTTAGCGGTTGGCGCCAGATTACCCTGAATTTACGGATTTCAATTAGACATTTCTTAGTAATTAGCAGTGATATTGGACAAACTAATACGCGTTTGTCTATAAGGTAATGTACTTATTAACTACACAAGGTGCCAGTTACTGTAGCATTCGTCAACTTTGCCTAATCGATGGAAATATTATGCCTTTAATGGAATATTATCACCTCCATATGTTCAGATGCGGAGGAGTCGGCACCGTCCATTTCGCTAAAGACTACGGATCGTTTCCTAGTTATCGACGAGCTGCGATTCTTTAGTATTCCTGCTAGTGGCGTACTCATCGTTGTCTTCATCTGCGTCATCTTTTCTTGGTCTCTCTGCGGAATAAAGGTTAGTGTAATGGGTTTGCCTCGCCTTAGCAAAAAAAGGTACTTGGATGTCAGACATCTACTGTATACGCTGTATATATCGCGGTGGTTTAATTTTCGCAAATTTCGCGAACGCGTCGTCGATCGCGAAAATAACAACGCGAATAATTCATACACAATAATACTGAATAATTCATAATTCACCGACCGCGAAATTAACCACTCGCGAAATTGTCAGTCAAGTCTGAATTCGCAAAAATATCTGTACGCGAAAAATATGGCATATACAGTAATCGATGCCTACAGTTCATTTCTTTACTTCATGCAATCATGAATACGTGCTCATGAATTTTGACTAGGGTTTCGTTCACACTTTTTCTAACCATACCACTGGCGTTTTGGGTGTCTGCGGTGTTTTTCTCCTTGTTGGAGGGAGTGATACTCGCTTTGGTGTCTGTGCCACTGTATAAATTAAATCAAGGTGACAATCAAATGCACAGATATGTATGAATACGAGATATGCATTCTTTTTTTATACATTTTTAACATCCTTATAGTAACCATTACCATATGACTGCAAGTAACTATTTAGCAAGCAACCATATTTTATGATTTTATGATTAGGTGTTTCAATAAAGTACAAGATTGTAAAGAATTACCTGTAATTACATGAATAATACAGGGCTCGAATTTCCCCAGTTTGAGGACTAATCCGTACGGATTTGTTCCTTCACAAATGAGCAAATCCGCTCAAAATCTAAGTAATCCATACAGGGTAGGCTAAATTTTACTATGAAAGAAAAAATTGGATGCAGGACAAACTGTCCTGAATAAAATACCTTATAAAGCTAATAATACCTATAAAGTTAAACATTACTATTTGTCAGATAGTTGATTGAAATGCTGTATAATGGCTCTGCCACCACAGACTCTGTGTGTGCTCTGTGTACATTTAATGATTTTAAGACAAAGATAATTGCAGAGGTGGAAGGGGCACTGTAACGCAAGTTATTTTTAAGTAATCCATACGGATTTCCTTCAGGGTTTCTCATGTAATCCCTAACTAATCCGTATGGTAATTTACCCTGCGGATTACCTCTGAATTTCGAGCCCTGATAATATAAATGTAATCAGATTATTTAATTAAAAATTTACTACCCATTACCAGGAGTGACTGGTTCCACAACCCTTCGCTGCTCCATGTTCTTCACAGCTTGTAGCAATTCTTTCATTTCTTGGTCTCTTACTGCCACATCCCCTTCGAGCTGTTTAACCCTTTCAGCACATTTTTCAAGCTGTTCACATTTCTCCTGTTATAGAAAGAAGTCTAGAACACTGAGATTCAAAAGGTTCTATAGAACTGCAAAATACTCCACCATAGTAGGTTTGGCAAGAAATATAGTGGATAAAAAAATTCCATTTTAGATATGTAGTTACTAATAACCATTGTATATATATATATATACACACACACACACAAATAGACAAGTAGCATGCACGCGCGCACACACATATGCACGCATGTGCGTACACATAACACAATGAGAAATGTTGGTGATTTCAAACCTTCAAGCCTTTGCTCTCTAATTCTTTTTGCTCAGCTTCCTTCAGCTTCAGCTGCATGTTCTTTATCTGACCTGTCTATATAGTAACCAAAAATAATAGTATATTAGAGTATTGCAGTTAATAATCAGTCACATTTATTACAGTATATTGAGGATCTCCAGTTGAAAGAAGGAAAGCAAAGTACATGCCATTAGCCCCCCTCCCATTATTCAAGCTTTATTTAAATATTACACTTGATTATGCTTCAACAATGGAAACAGTATCAATCAACTGACATGTATATAATTGCAAAATGCTAAAATTATCCCAATCCTCAAGTAGTGTGGAATAATAATGTCACTTTCACCAAGACAATACTCCTGTGATTAATCCGGGCTTCCATCATACACCTTGCTATCTACTGTTAATGATATATGTTATAATGTCACTGTATTTATTATATACATTAGCGAGCTCCTTTTGCTTGCATTCTTCAAGTTTTTTGGCCATGTCTTTCACTTCCTTGCATTTTATTTCGAGTTTTTTCTCATCTCTCAACTGAAATACAATCATTCACACATAATGGTTGAAAAGCTTGCACAGGAAGAACAATAGCCTCGTCTACACGACGAACCTTAACTCGAGTTAAGCGTTAACTCGAGTTAGCGATTATGTAGCGTCTACACGACAACACCCGATAGCGATTATTATCGATTTATTATGCATGCGTGCGTGCGTATGTAAACGTGCGTGCGTGCGTGTGTGCATGCGTGTGCACAGATACGTGCGTGCGTGTGTGCGTGCGTGTGCACGTACACGTGCATGCGTGCGTGCGTGTTCACGTACGTGCGTGCGTGCGTGCATGAGTGTGTGCGTGCGTGCGCGCGTGTGCAGGTACACGTTCGTGCGTGCGTGCGTGCATGTGCACGTAGGCATGCGTGCGTGCGCACGTACACGTGCGTGCATGAGTGTGTGCGTGCGTGCGTGTGTACGTACATCGAACTAGTGCTGCCGCCTATCGTGGAGGTTAAGCTAACTCGAGTTAAGCGTCTACACGGGCCTTGACTCGAGTTAAGGTAACTCGAGTTAGCTTAACCTCGATCGACTGGCGAGGTCAAGCTAACTCGAGTTACCTTAACTCGAGTTAAGGCCCCGTGTAGACGCTTAACTCGAGTTAAGGTTCGTCGTGTAGACGTAGCTAATATGCATGTGCATTCATTTTATTTCCACAGTCCACTAACTACAATTATAATATTACTTAACAGCGTATAATAGCACTGTAGCACTCTATTGATACATAAATGCATTTAGAATCAATTAAATGGGAATGATGAGTATACCTTGTGTTTATCTAAGAGAGCAATCATGTCAGCAATTCTGACGTCACAGTTCAACTCCATTTTGGCTATATCTGCCTTTACTCCTTCATTTTTTCGCTGCATTTTCTCTCCCTAAATTGTAGATATGATTTCAATTTGAAAAAGAATTAATATGAAGAATATAGTAACCTTGGTAATATAATTCAATATAAATAATTATGACATTTCCTTTGCAATAGGTGGCAGATTGGCAAGTAAATTAAAACTTGCAGTTTTTTTTTTAGCTAACACAAATGTAGCCATTTATTGTGCTAGTTTTGGTTGATTTCCAATTCAGAATTTTGATATTAAAAAATTAAATGCAATATTATTAAATCAATTAGATCCAAAACTACTTGTAATAAAAGTAATAAATAAATGCATCATGCCTGTACCTCAATCTCAAGCTCCTTGACTTTGGTCGTGGCATTTGCGTAATCCCCAGTTAAGTCAGCAAGCTTGCTTTCTAGATTTTCAATCCGAGTTTGCTGACCATTGAGATTCATTGTCAAGCTTCCATTCTGTAGAGTAGTAGTAGCAGTAGCAGCAGCAGCTAATATTCTTTATTATCATAAAATGTAATCTTACAAGAACATCATATGTGGAGTTTGAAGGTCACATCCACACACACATTATTACCTCCTAATTCTGTATCTAAACTTAAATCCCTGTTTCCTCTCTCATAGCAGAACAGTATAGCATATGCAACATGCAGCTTGTATATTTATAGCCTCTAGCAGTGAGCTCTACCTAGAAGTCTGCTAATTATTAAAGCGTTTAAAATTCACAACAACCCATCACTTCCGAAACTTGTTTGAAACCATGCTATTTAACAGTGATCTGCTATTCTTATATAGGTGATATTTTACCTCGAGCTCAAGCCCCTTGACTTTGGTAGATGCATTCGTGTAGTCTCCAGTTAAATCAGCAATCTTGCTCTCCAGATTTTCCATTTCCTTTTGCTTGTCATTAAGATTCATCATTAGTGTTGAATTCTGTGAAATAATGCATAAAACATTACCAGTTGTGTAGTTCATGCATGCACAAGTAGAGAGAGAGAGAGAGAGGGAGAGAGAGAGACACAGAGAGAGAGAGACAGAGAGAGAGAGAGAGAGAGAGAGAGAGAGAGAGAGAGAGAGAGAGAGAGAGAGAGAGAGAGAGAGAGAGAGAGAGAGAGAGAGAGAGAGAGAGAGAGAGAGAGAGAGAGAGAGAGAGAGAGAGAGAGAGAGAGAGAGAGTGAGCTATTATGGGATGGAGATTCTTGCCTAAGAAGTGGCTTTCTGATACTATAGTTATATAGGTATATATATCGATCCTGTGACAGACTAATCTGGCAGGTCTATTTTCAAGTCTTCAAACTGAATGAACCAATCGTTTGTTGCACATTTCACAAAAATAGCCCTGTCCCAGAATGGGTAGTGAACCACATATTCTGGTGGTCAGAGTTGGAGCATTTGTGAATTTGAGTAAATTGTAGCAAATTTTTGGCAAGGAATGTTTCGACACAGCAGCTAGAGATGCAGACAAAAATTATCGGGAGACAAGCATCACCTAATCTGACAAATCCTTTATGTAGAGGTTTAAGAGTATGTGAATCTTGTGGTAACAACTTACAGCCAGTCCAGTGTATTTCAATTGCTAATTTGGGAAACTTCGTTCAGAAACATGCTTATAGAGCACTTGTTTCCTCCATGTGCCTGTAATAGGATTAAATTTTTGATGAATGATTTTCAATTTCGAACTGTAGGAAAAGCTTTCTCGACACATACATATGAATTAGGTGTTGTCCATAAACCTATTACAAAATTTGACACACATTCATGAATGAATGATTGAAAAACAAACCTTTGATAGACTTCAGTTCCTCAACAGCTTGCTGGGAATTTCTGTAAGCCGTTTTTACTTCAGATAACCTGTTAACCAAATATTCGCAAAGCATGCTGAATGATTACTATATATATATATACCAGGACAACATCGAGTTTTCCAGACACTGATGGTCCGGAACTCTATTTTTAT